TTTAGAGTTCACACAGAGCTTTAGAGGATGTGAACACACACAAACATTTATGTGCTCACACACATTTAGTTCTTATGGCTGAGAAAAAATATGAAGAATACGTGTCAGATAAAGTTTGCACTTGGCATTAAGTTCCCCAAACCTTTGGGCTAATATACTTCTTATGATTCTTTCTCATCTTCCTCAGTCAGAATGCAAAACAAAGCGTTTAAATAGGCTCCAGTATCTATATAAATGCTGATGTTCAACGGGAAAGTGCCCAAGCTGGTGATGTGTGATTGGCCTGGTTGGGAATTTGACCATAAGCTACCCTAGAGATCTGGTTTAGGTCAGGGTAAGCTTAGGTTTAAGAAATCCAGGATTGATTACAGTGAGGCCTTTTCGACCTAAGCTAATTTAGTTTAGAAGATTTTCCCTCCAGATAGAGGGATCCCCTGTTTGAGGAGGGTTCTTAGTGGCTTAGAACTTTTGCAAGGTGTGAGTAAGGTATTCTACATAGAGGCTGGGGAGAAAGGGGAGTCATCCTCAGTGGTCCCTTCTGACTTTGGATACTGGTTTAGTTTGAAAGAGAACATCCAAAGCAGGTGTATTAATGGTTTAACACAACTTTTTTATGATCATTTGAGGCCAGATCTAAGCCTCACAGTCCTGGGATGTGCCGTTATGAACAGGAGTCTCTGCTCCCATTGGGCGGTGGCTCACACCTCTGCAAGGCAGAAAATTTTCACCAGAGAACAAATGAACTCTTACGATCTGGAGCTGTTCTTTCCCCTGTTATCAGTAGATCTAACTGGAAAATTACCTCAGGGTTGGGGAATTGCAAAATTAAAAGGCGAGATTCTGAAAGTTTGCTACCATGAAGAAATTCAGCACAAATTTTTGAAGAGAAGATTCTAAGCAATTTAGTTAGCACTCAGTAACCAAAGCCTGGGCTATTATAGATGCAGAAAACTCAGATCAAAGAGAGTAATCGTTGGAAACATCTTCTCTATGATTAACGCAAATAATTCTTAGCTTATTAAAAACAGCAGAAGCATGGAGAATTTGGCCTTTTAGCTTAGAGCTGCTCCTTACTTAGAAGAGGGTATTTTGCCTATCAATTCCTCATAAGACCTCATCACTGGGACAAATATTACCTTCAAAGCAGAGCTATTTTAAAAAATTAAATGCATTGTATTTGTGAATTAACAACCTGAAACTATTCTCTCCATTCTTTAGTACCTTACTAGACTTATCTGCTGATAACATTCCATTAAAGAATGGTAGAAATAGCTGCATGTGGAAACTAAACACATTCGAATGGAATTTTTCAGTTGCTTAACACAATTGCACAACAAAATAGCTATGCAAATATATAGCAGAATAGAAGAAAGAAGTTTGGACACGTTTAAAAACTATTCCTATAGAATATTTTAGGACAATTCAATACAAACAGAAAATGAATTTAGACAACTAATACTCACCAAGGTGCAAAAAAAGGGTCAGTTGAAATTGCATTCTTTTGTCAGGAAATGATTAAATTCAATTCTTCTAGATTAAAAAAAGGTTAAAGTTAGTTACTGACAGAATCAATAATTGCCATCATCACATATTATTTAAAGGCCCTCAAACTTGTCTAATGGTTCTTAAATGCCTTAGAGATATAAAATACCCACAATGTCCAGTTCCTTAAAAAATAAGAGTACATAAAATTTTAACAAATATTTGTTTACTATTAATGTTTGCCATGTTTTGAAATGACAGGATTCAATAGCTTGTGGGAAATAAGATGCAAAAATATAATCTCCTTTGCATATTTTAATTTTAACCTATTTTTTTTTTGCCCATTCTTACTTAGAAACTTTTTTTCTAAAAAATTACGGTTAATACATATTCATTGTAGAAAAAGTAGAAAATTCACACAGGCAAAATGAAGAGAAGCATCACCTATAGTATTACCACCCAGAGAAAAGCAATTAATATCTTGCTGTATGTTCTTCCATACTTTTTCTCACATATAAATAATTAAAAAAAATAATATCACGCAGTTTTCTTGTTTCAATCAATACATCCCAGACATCCTTCTGTATCAACAAATTTTTTTTAAAATCAGTATTAAACCTGTGCCTCTTCCCTTTGTAGATTTGGCCATGCCCTCAAGAGAGATGCCTCCCTCCATCCCACAGTCACTGTTGGGGTGCTCTCTGGTAGAGATGGGAATATATATGCACCTCAGTGCATAGGAGGAAAGAAGGTGAACTTCTTTCCTGCAGCCATTCTTTTAGTTACTACATAGTATTCCTCTGGCTGCAGGAAACTGAATTTATTTAATGAATTCCCTATTGGTTGATGTATACTTTGTTTCTAATATTGTAAATATTTCTGCTAAATCTTTGTTCATATTCTTAATTATTCCCTAAGATATATTAAATGGAATGGAAATAATTAACCAAAGAGTATATGTGTGTGTGTGTGTGAGCATATAGGCATATGTGTGTATACAAAGAGTATATATCCATACATGTACATATATGCATATACACAAATACACATACTACATGTATAAATGTGCATGAATATATAAAGGTTTGATGTCACTTTCCAACTGCCATGCAAAAAGTTTGTCCTAATTTACACTCTCACAACAGTCTAGGGAACAACAGTTGACATGAGCCCTTGTCAATATTATGAATTTTTAAATCTTTGTCCATTAATAAATCAAAAAATTATGCCTCATCATTATTTTAATTTTTTATTTGGATAGTAGGAAGTATACAAATATTTTTCCTGTATTTTCAGATGAGAATATGTTTGACATTCTCTTCTTCAGGGCTTTTCCTGGTAAATCCTTTGTTTATCCTTCTAGTTCCACCTTCCTAACCCCTCCTCTCACATCTCTTGTTCTTCAGTCTGAGAGCTCCACGTGCTGCTTTCTGAATCCTCTTCTCAAAGGCTGTTTCCTTTGCCTTGAGATGCCACCCTCCTACACCCAAATGCCAGCCTCCCTGTGAAGTCTTTTTAGGGTGTTTTGAAATCCTGATTTTAGGAAAATTTTCCGTTCTGTGATTCAAGCTCTTTACATAGCCTGGGGTTCATTTCGGAAGTCCGATGTCATAAGAAAATGACTCACTGAGAAACAGTTCTCCTGCAGAATCTCCATCTGAAAGTGAGCTCTACCTGTTAACAAGTCTGTAATCCTGGACTAATGGTCGTATATAAAACCTTGTGAAGACCTGTAGGGGAATCGAGGATGGAGCCTTAGGGAGGTCCATTCTCTGTAAGCCATTTGAATCCAAGCACTGAAACTTTGTATCCATTAAACAAGTCCTCATGTCTCCCTCCCCCCAGCCCCTGGCAACCACCATTCTACTTTCTGTCTCTGTGGATTTGACTACTCCCAGTACCTCATATAAGTGGAATCATACAGTATTTGTTCTTTTGTGACTGGCTTATTTCACTTAGTATAATGTTCTCAAGGTGCATCCATATTGTAGCATATGTCAGAATTTCTTTCCTTTTTAAGACTGAATAATATTCCATTGTATGTACCTGGGGAGATTTTTAAACCACCAACACTCAGGCGCAACCCAGACTAATTAAATCAGAATCTCTGGGGGTGGGGCCCCAGAGTCAGCGTGTTAAAATGCTCTCCAGATTCTCATAGCAGCCAGAGTTGAGAACCACTGAAGGCTCATGAACATCTGAAGCTCATTAATTTGCCCCCAACCCCTGCTGCCCTCCTGGATTCCATTCTAAGACAAGGGCAAACCCAGTGGTTTCCAAACTTGATTGCACATTAATGTCACCTGGGGAGCTTTTAAAAATCCTATCACATTCCATACCAATTAAATTAGAATATCTTGGAGTAAAGTCCTGGCATCAGTATTTTTAAAGATTCTAGGCGATTCCAGTGGGCAGCAAAATTTGAGACCCACTGTATAACCATGGACCAACTTGCTCAGGCCAGAAACATGAAGGTCACCCTTGATTCCTCCTTTTCTCACCCTTCAAATCTAAATTCTCATCCAGCCCACTTGATCTCATCTCCTTAAACCATGGTTCTCAAAGTACGGCCCCTGGACTTAATAAGGTGACCAGTTCATATCAGTTTGCCTGGGACTTTTCTGGTTTTAGCACTGCAAGTTCCCAGGTCCTGTAATCCCCCTGGATCCTGGGCAAAGCCAGATGGTTGGTCACCCTACTAGACCAGCAAAATCACCTGGGAACTTGTTGGACATGCCAGTGATTGGGCCCCAGCTCAGGACCTAGTGATTAACAAACTCTGGGGACCGGCTCAGCACTCTGCTTTCACATGCCCTCCCGGTGAGTCTGATGAATGCTGAAGTTTGAGAACCACGGTCTTAGGTAATTCCCAAGTCTTTGCACTGTAAAGCTCCAAGCCACTCCTGCTCCTAGGGATGGCAGCTAACACTTAATGAAAACCCACTCTGCAGCAGGCTCTTAATTGTCTGTGTGGCCTGACAACTCCTCAGTCAGACACTGCAGGTCCAGGCTGTGGTGTTGGGGCAGAGACATCTGGTAATGTCTGCAGAAATTTTTGGCTGTCACAATAGAAGAGAGGGATTCTACTGGCTTCCAGTGGATAGAGGACAGAGATGCTGCTACAATACATATGCTGCCATGCAAAAGACAGCCCCTGTCCCCACGACTAAGAATTTTCCAGCCCAAAGTATCAATATTGTGGAGCTTGAGAAACTCTGTAAGTGGCTTCAGTGCCCTTAGCCGTGGGCCTTATCTTCCCATCCTTCATTTCCTCAAATTGCTCATCTCGAGTCTTCCTCCCTGTTTTTTATATCCCATTTTACGTGAGCTAAGCTTCAAACTAGATAAGTATCATAGTGAGTCTGGAAACTTCTATAAGTTCTGTTATCTGAAATCACCTACCCAGTCATTATAAAACCTGTAGCTGCACAGATAACCCAATTTCAGGGGTTGTGGTAATCCCATCCGTACCTTCTTTCACTAAGCTATAGATGTAATTGGTACGGCTTTTCTGGTTGGTTTACCAGAGCTGACATTTTGAAACTCACAAGAGGTACATGACATTTTTTTGCATGCTAGATTCATTGGTGAGTTTGAGTGATATATGTAAAAGTGATTGGGGTTAATAAATGTAATATTATTCCTTCTTTGGATGAAAAGTGTATAAAAGTATTTCCAAAGGCACTGGATGCATTTTGGTAATTGTTTAATGAATGCTGATAGCTGACCTGGTCTTAAAATGAGTTAAGCATTGCAATAAACAGTAAAATATATTAAACCGACAATAACTTTCTGGCATTGCTAACTGATATAATTTACTGACTGTTGTTCACTAACATTGCTTTATCTGAAGCCTGCTCCCTGTCCAACATCTTGTCAAAGAGGTTTCTTTCTTTTTTCGCCAAAACAACTTGGATGCGACAGATGAAGATATGAGGGACAAATAATGCCAAACTGCCCAGCTCCCGACCCACAGGTGGACATAGTGTTTGATAAAAGCCTGTCCACAAGAAAGGCATGTATTCCACTCCTGTTTCTGCTACTGTTCCTTTCTTCTGAAAATTGTACAGTAATTTATAACACGGCAGATAATTATAATTAACATATTTACACTAACCTTTAAGACTTTTTCTGGCATGCTTCAAATGGGTGATCTTATACATCTAAAGTGACAGTTCTTATAGAAATCTTATATTTAACTTTCCCTTGTTTAACTTTCTTTCATATTATATCACTAGAGATTTCAACTGTTTGCCTAAATTGCATCACAATGAGGGATGCAGAATGCAGAGCAATAAAGTTTACTTTTAATTATAGCAGGTGTTTTTCTTAAAACTTAATATTTATAAATATCTAGGATAGTAACAAAAATATTTTGAAAATAGATAGTTCTAAAGAATTTGAGCCTTTTCTAAATCATCACAAGCTGTATCCCCATAACAAAAATAAGTATTCACTTAGCACAATTTAAAATTGTGCATTTCAACACTACATCATTTGAAGCTTCCTTCAAGGTACAGAAAGGCTCAAATCACTGGCTGTAACTCACTATGCTTTAAGCATCAATTTTCCCATTGGATGCTGTTTTGTGTTGCAATAACCTTATGTACATGTCATCTGATTATCATTCTGTAAAAATAATTATAATCTATGCTGTTACGTACTCTATTTTTTACTTTATGCTCACTCCCCATGTAGCCCCCAAATTCTGAACTTGCTGATACCTTCAGTTAATCCATAAAATTCTAATTTGCCAGTGAGACAGCAGGCAAAACTCACCGGGATTCGAGAGTCTGTGTAGGAGGCGCAGGCAGCAAACAGGGCGTGTGAAGACACACCTGAAAGTGAGAGTCGATTTAAGCAGAAAACGTTCTCCCTGAGGCACCTAAAAGTAGGGGGAAAAGAAAGATGAGAGCTATTCCAAAACCTGCCAAAAAAGATGATTGTGAAGTTACCTGCCTCAGGTTTTGACTAACAAGCACGCGCGCACGCGCGTGCGCGCGCGCGCACACACACACACACACACACACACACACACACACACACACACACTCCGTATACAGAGGGAAATACAGCTCGATTTTACAGCAAATGTTCTCGTTTTCTCTAAAACACATTTTAATTGCCACGGATAATGCAGAGACATTTTGTTTCCTATTTTATTTATTTTCTAGTTCATGTCGCAGTGGTCATTTTTAGACACCTTGACACTTAGCTATCAATAGTGCTGAAGTAGAGGGGCTTGTTTCTTAGAAATGAGACCCCAGCCCCATGCCCATCTGCTTCCAAGGGGACAGGGTGGAATGCTTTCGTTTGGGTTCTCAAGACTCTGTTCCTTTAATGGTTTACACATTTCTGTTTACCTTGTGCTTTGGCAGGTATGACCCTGAGGGAACTGCAGGTTTAAGTGGTTTGGAAATCCGTTCTCCTACCAAGTAGGTTTATAGGAGGGAAACTAAGGAAGTCTTAAATTGTATTCACCTGTCAGTATATTAAAATATCCATTTCAAACCTGTGCAGTTTCAGTGGGTACGTTTACTGATTACTTGAAAAGACACAGGTGGGATTCCTAGAAGCTCATGGAGAATGATACCCTCGTGGAAGAATAATGGCTGTGAACCGAGCAAAAAGAAGACACGCAGTTTTCCACAACATTTACAAGTCAAGGAATAGCTTCAACAAACATTCCTCCCACACTGGTTTTATAGACCTCTAAGCATTGTCAGAGATGCTTTTTTAATGGTTCTTACCTGTTACTTGTGTTTTTATTTATTGCTGTGTTTTGACTTGATGCCCCTGTTGTTTTTAATTTTGTTTCCTCCAGGTCAGGTCTGTCTGCTCACTTCTGACGTTGTAGAAAGCAAACTCCTACAAGGCAGGAACCACCTCTTTTTCTTTTTAGGGCTGAGTATCAAGGAAGCTCGCAGTCAATATTTGCTGAGCTAACTTGTTTTATTTCTTTATATAAACCGACAACGTCCATAAAGCATCAGGTAGTAGGAAACCAAGCAGCAGTATTTGGTTTTTAGTAGAAACTTCCACAGGGAGTTGGAGTGAAATTTAGGGACTTTTCAGTTTGTTCAATGAATGGGTTTGTGTTCTGTTTTGTTAGTCAAATACTGTTTTTTCCTTTAGACATTTCAATTATTGTTCAAAACATAAATTCTAAGCACTAAATGTTTATATTTTAAAATTATTTCAAACATTGAAATTCCATAACAAGTCTTTTTCCCTTTTGAGACATGTAAATTTAAAAAGCTTGCTGCATTCTTGAGTGATTTTATTATATCTTCACGGTTTTTCCGCTGATATATGTATCTGCAGTTTTATAATGAAAACTGAAGTGACAACATGGTTTGAATTTCAAAAATTTACTTTCAAACAATTGAGAGAATATGTTGCCATAGGATATTGCCTGTAAATTGATACCATGTCTTGGCATATCTGCCTCCGTCTCAGAATGGCTCAACCATCTCTTAGGGTTGGGGCTAGGCCTGGAGGCTGTCAGGCAGGAGATATTTTCCTGAAAAATAATTTGCCCATTGAACAGTTGGTGAGAAGCAGTCTCAGTAAAGTTCTTCTTAAGCAAAGTCTTGCTATCTCTCATTTTTCTTTTCCAAAAAGAAAATAGCTTTATTGTTTTTCCTGAAAAATATGTTCATTTATCCTAAATAAGATAATATAAAATGAAAAAGTAAAAATCAACTGAAAGCCAAGAATTTTTTGGTGAATATCTTTCTAGATCTCTCTTCACTTTCTTTTGTTCTTGCTGACTCACTCTTCTCCCAGAAATAGAGAGCGGATGGGCTAAAGAACAGGAGCAAGTGCCCAAACTCAGACGTGTGGAGTCCTACCTTTATTTTGTTGCTCACAGAACCTTCAAAACTGGCAAATTCCATTAGGTATAACTTACATGTCAAAATCCATTTGTTGTACGTAAACAGTTTAATGCCTTCAGTTGAACTAAAGCTGAGCTGGAGAGAAGTGAACACGTAGTCTCTTGGCGTGGGATGGGGTATTTCCTCCGAAGGCAGCCTGGGAAGAAACTCCTTGGTGGAGCCTCATTTTAACCAGAACAGCTTAATGAGCTTTCCCTGGTGGTGGCCTTGCCTGCCTTTCCTTCTTGGTGGCCCACCTCACTGCAGGGCCGAGGAAGCTGCACCCAAGGAGACTGGCCCTCAGTCAAGGAGATTGCCCCGAGTCAGGGGGATTTCACCAGGGATGAGGGCTGAGGAGTCTTCCTCAGGCACGAGGAGCCTCGCAAGTCCGGACAGGACGTGTGGAGGGTTAGTCAGTCGAAGAGGACCTTGAAACAGCTAATCAGCCTTTAGTAAGATTCAGTGAACCTGAATGAAGCTAAGATCACGGTGCTCAAGGGAGCCGACACAAGCTGCTGAAGCTCTGACCGGACGGAGGGGCATGGGCCTACGAAGTCCTCGGGCAGGAAGGAAACAGCAAACCCTCCCTGACAGGGCTGCTGCCAACCCCGCTGGGTTACCTCAGAGCGACCCCAGGCAGAGGGCCCATGGGCACCTGGCGAGGACCCCCAGAGATTTACCACCTGGTTTCTCTTATAACTGACTTTCCCAGTTCCTCCCCTAACAGAGCAGGATGAGAGGACCCACACATCCCACGGTGGCCTGGGCCTGAGGTCACCCTGCATTTTCACCTCAGAATCTACCTCGGTGAGCTCTAGTTACAGAGACTGAGGCAGACGGAGCTCGCATGGCGTTTAGGAGAGAGTAGGGCACTCAAGTCCATTGATTTGTTTTTATAATTCCTGTAAGAATTTAAAAGTGCATTTCCATATTTACAGGAAAGTGCTAAAATGTACCAAATTTTAAAGTTGTTGATAAATGTGTAAAAGCTGTATCATTACTATGCAAAAATTGTTAACACAGTCACAGAGTGTGAGACCCTGCAAGGACCTCAGAGATAATTATATTAAATAGTTCTAACTCTCTGTCCTGGAGATAAGGAAACTAAAATCTAGAGAGTTAATTGATTCAGCTAAAGCCACACATGAGCCCACAGGCACCTTTCATCTTTGCCACTCTAACAGCCCGTGGTGGATGGCCATGTTTCTTTTATTCTTTGGTGTGGTGGCTTTGTGACACAGAGTCACATTAGCACACTTGAAGGCTTCAGGGAGTCCAGGGAAATGGGAATGTTTTATAGGAGAATGAAGTGTACTAGATAATTTAATTCCGATGTCAATCTTGTGAGGTAGGTACTAAATTATTCACATTTTATAGATAAGGAAACTGAGGCACAAAGAAGTAACTTGCCCACGATAGCACAGATACCCACATTTCTTTCAATTGTCTTGAAATCAACTGATACAGCAAGGAAGCAGGGGAGGTGGAGTAGTAAAGACCAGGTGTTCGGGGCCTATTATAGGTATCGAGTGGCAGAACCTACCCTCTTAGAGCCCTTCCATCGCGTCATGCTGAACTGTGCCAGGAAAAATTGTGAAAATCTTTGAGATGAAAAAAAAGATTGCTGGGTATCTTGTGTAGTGCATCCTTCCTGCCTATCTGTCTTTCATTGTCTTTGAGCTATTTTACAACTCCAAAAGTCTTAGGATATTGATAGTAATGCAAATGATTCTTGCCACGGAAATGCAAATTGTGTCCTATAGAGGTGCAACTGATTATTTCTGAATAGATAGTGATACATATAGATATTAGCCAATTGATTTTAGCATTTCTTATAGCCTATGTATGTATGTTTTTAAAAAAATACTTCTTCAAATTGGTTATAACATTTTCCTGGTTCCCTCATTAATTAATGAATTGAATAAAATCCTTGGTGTGTGTTTATTTTATATATGTATGAAAGTCATGATTTTACCGTTTAAAAATATTAAACTTTAACACCTGCTTGGCATTCCTGAATGTGCCTGTGTGTCTCATATTAATTTGCTTACCTGTTGTCTACAGCTGCATTGTCTGCACTACAATAGCAGAGCTGAGTAGTTGTAAGAGACCATACCACCTGAGAAGCCAGAAATATTTACATCTGGCCCTTTACAGAAAAAGTTTGTTAACCCATGATCTATTTAATGCCACTAGAGTCTCAGCATCGCCTCCAGGACACTATCTCTGCAGCCCAGGCTGTGTTCCCCTTCTGGCACACATAATGCCCTGTGCGTACATCTCCTGTAGCAGTTGCCATCTGTGTTTTGGTTGTCGCCTCTTATACCTCCACACCTCATCTATAAATCCCTCCAGGACATGGACTGCGTCTTGCTCACCCCTGCATCCCCAGTGCCTACGATAACGTCTGGCACATAATGGGCACTCAATATTTGTTGGATGAAAGTTTTTCTCATCCTGTACTGGGTCGCAAGGGTATTTGCATATCATGGTATTCTGAATAGGTATTTAACAACTGGCTGGCTATCAACCTATTTTTAAGATAAAATGACATAAATCAATATTTCTTTTAATTCCTCAGAAATGAAACAATATAGCCAAGAAGCGGTGGGAATAGCAGTAGTGAAGGCCGGTGTGCTGGGGCTTAACACAATGACCGTGCTCTGAGAAGGTGGGCTGTGCCTGGCGGGAAGCGTGGGTTCAAACAGTCCTAGGAAGATGGGCCGGTTTTCACTGATGTCGCGACTTGGCCAGGGATGGGCAAGTTGCACAACTCTTAGGGGTACGTTTCTCATTGTTTTCCACCTATCCTCTCATCTGTGGGTTTCAAAAGGGCTCCTGCTTGTCTTTCTATCGCCACTAATTCTTTGGTTTTTCTGCTTTGTCCTTTTGCCACGCCAAGAAACTTCCCCTCACTCCTGTGGCATCCTGTATCGCTCAGTGTGTTTGAG